TGCTGGTACAGCACACATGTTGCAATGATCCTTACACTTACCTAAAAGCTAAATATACCTATTTTTGTTGTTAACTTCAGAAAATGGTGATAACTTGTACCTAGACATTCACTTTAGGGCCGCAGCACTTGCTAAAAAGAGTTCTAACGAGAACAGTTTGGGTCAGAACTTTAATTAATCAATAAAACATTTATTTATGAGTAATGAGTTCAGTTCCTAGTTTGTCAACAAAATTAAGGAAAACATATTGCAATAAATGTGAAAATTCTTCCTCTTGACATTATATCAATTAATAATTCAACGAATCCGCATTAATTTGGGTTGAGTTCACATGTTCTAGCTCGATATAATCACATCAGCCAAGAATGTACTAGGAAAGTATTTGGACCAGGCGCAGCAACTCCGGCAAACATTGAAACAAGAAGCCAGGATCTTACAGGGGACGCACTTCTGGAGACAATAAGGCATCAAAAAGTCAGCCTGAGGAAGAGGAGAGTGAACCGTGAAGTGCAAATAAATAAACCTCTAAAAATATTATAACAATGATTTCCTGGTTTGCTCAAAGCATTTCTGCATCATGATTCATCGTTTTAGTTCAAGGTGTTGCAGGATTAACACTTACAATAGGCAGAAGAATACATCCAATAATGAAATAGAGCTTGTGTTTCTAAACAAACATGAGTTAATTCTCTCAAGAACAAATACACAGATCTATATCTCAGCTTTATTAGAACATTAATCTCTCGGGGTCTGTCTTGAATAAATAAATAAATGTACTATTACGCTCGAATGGATGCTTACACTGCAGAACCTGTTGGTTGTTATGACATGACCCGTTTTATAGCCCATGCTTGTCTCTGTCTCCCCCCAGTGGAGGACCCATGCGTGCTGAAGCCCTGTGGAAATCGAGGCCGCTGCTGGAGCGACAGGAGAGGAAACTACAACTGTGTCTGCAAAGTAGGCCTGACTGGCAAAGACTGCGAGAGAGGTCGGTGAACCATCAGACCACACTCAGACATCACAAAGGCAGCTCTGTAATAATTGAATGTATGGATTAGAAACAGAAGGTTGCCACTGTTCCCAGACCTGCTACCTCCGTCTGGTCTCCATGTTCTGCGAGTGGAGGAGAGCAAGGTGGAGCTGCGCTGGGATCAGCCTGAGCCTTCACAGAGTGTGATCAGCATGTTCGCTGTATCCTACGCGCCCCTGGGCCAGAACGACCCCAGAACAGACTACATTGACAGACAGCAGTCCACCCACATCATGCGGGACCTGGTGCCCGGTGTGCTCTACAACATCTCCACTGTCTCCATCAAACTCAAAACCAATGGCAATGACACAAGCCAGCCTGCCACTGCCCTGATCCGCACTAGTAAGTCCAGGTTTCTGCAGCTGGAATCTGCTGCTGTGTGTAATGAGATGAAACCCCACGCTTACAAAACTTTAGTAATCATGTGTGTTTTCATGTGCTAGGACCTCGGCGGGTGGAACAGCTGCAGATGGTTAATGTGTCCTCCTCCCAGGTTTGGCTAAGCTGGCTGGTCCGGGCTGCTCATCATGCAGCAGTCAGCAGGGTGCTCGTGTCTTTGACGCCTTCAGAGGGGAGCGAGCCTCACACTGCTGTGCTCAACGCGAGCACCACCGAGCACACTTTCAGGTCAGGGTCAGGATGTTTCTGAATGACAGACAAACAAACAGATACCTGCGGCATCCTCTCTGTGTTCCTCAAGTCATTCTGCTGAAGTATTAAGAGAGGAGAGTTTACGTCTTAACCAGCAGAGGTCGCTGTTGCCTTGCGGACATCTAACGGGTGCACTCAAATCTTAAAAACGTTGGCATTTTAATAGAATTTTTACAAGTTTTGAAGTGCTTTAATTCTTCATAAAGTACATACAACTTCACTCTATTTGGTGTTAGATTTATTTTTTTAAGACAAGAAAGTGAATTATGCCTCAGTGTACAGTTCAAGTCTAAACTATTTATACAGGGATGCCCTGTGTAGACCTGCTAACTGATGCTTTATTACTGCTGGACTGGATCAGTCAGGCTCCTAATCGTGTTGCAGCCTGCAGAGAAAGAGGTGTTTGAAATTTTATTCAATTTCTTCTTTAATGTTCACTCTGTTGCTGCCCCTTGGCATCCAAAAGAAATAAGGAGGAGAGCTTCGACGGGTGTAACCTTTTATTTTCGTCAGGCTGTAGATGCACACATCTCAATCACCGAGCACCTGGTGCCGGACACCGTGCAAACTGAAATACATAATTTACAAACAAATTAAAGACAATCACTGACAATCAGGAGCAACAAACAGAAACAAAGAACAAATACCTTGCTCCTCTTGCCATGGGGTGCAATCAAAGTAACTTGGGACATGGGGCATTTATAGCCACCGAGCTGACGTTGTCCAGTCCTCAACTACAATTCAGAAATGGTAAAATTGTCTCTGTGGATATGTATTGTTCACGTCTGTCTAGATATTTTCCAAATAAAGCTTCTGGATAATCTTGAATACTCACATTGACGAGTTCTTCAGTTTTATTTAGCCAAAGTTGTCAGAACTTTGCAAGCGTTTAACTTAAAAAAAAAACATAAAGAAACCATGACGGATGCAGCTAACTCCTGGTCTACCTCCACGTGTTATAAAGTTTGTTGCAGGCCGCTCAGATGTACACAGTGGACGTGTTGACCCAAAGTGGACTCAGACCAGACGAGTTTCCCTCCACCAGCCACTCGGCTGGACCTCTGCACTTCTGGACTAGTAGGTCACATTATTATTATTGTGGATAGAATACATTTTTAATAGTGATTTAGGTGAATAAATGCCAGCTTTCAAAATCAATATTGCAGAGTGCGTCATAAAAAATAATTAAAAAGTCCTCACAGTAAATAATATTTAAATTGATCAGAAACTGGAACGTTCCCTTTTGCAGTTCTTTGTAATGCTTTATATTCAAACAAGATATGGATTTTAACAATAATACAAAAATGGGGATTTGTCAACACAGAGATGTTGATCTGCAGGTGTAATGAGTTCAAAGTCACTAAATCCAATTTACTTCTCCATTTTTATAATTTAAACTTAAACAGATGGTCATCACCACATCCAGATGTCTAAATGCCATGTGTTTGGATGATTAGATTATTATTTCAATGAACAGTTGAAAAGGTGCACCTAATAAAGTGGTTTTTGTGTATATACCGTAAATCCTCTAATATTAGCCTGTATTTAATTAACGGCCGGGTATCATATTTTGGCCGGTGTCGGAGTCGGCGGAGGTGAATAATGGCCGTTTTCTTTATTGTGGCCGGGTGGAGTGTGGTAACAAGCAAGTACGGGGGGCGGTTGTGTCATCCGTCTCACTTTTGATTTGCCAGTGATAGACCGCGAGGGTAACTTTAACCGGGCGGAGACGAAGAGGAGGCGAAAATTTGATATCAAGTTCAAAGAGAACGTGCTGATTATGCTGCAGAACACTATGGGGAGCAGTAGCAGGGGTTGTATGAACTAGTCACTAGTCGACTTCACCGCTCTATAGTGACTTGTTATGCCTGTCATCGACTAGTCGCTGTCACGTGATAATGACCGGCAAGATGCAGTCCTCCGAAAAGACAGCAGTCTGCTGTCAGCAGGTGGCAAGCTCCTGCGCGTCGGGAGGCAACGCACTGTGCCAGAGCGTCGGTACTGACACCCGCCGTAAAACGGACATTTAACGAAATTGTGACCTTTACCCTCTTGCAATTTAACCTTCCCCTCACCCCCATCCTAACCTTAACCAGCTTGCGCATGCAAAGCTCTGATTGTTGACGCGCTCCAGACATCTGCGTCCTGAGCACGGCCTCAGTAACATTATCAAATCAGGTGTCGCCCCTCAAAATGTAATTTAACACACGATCGTTCATGTCGGCTCATTTCCTTTTATGTTTTCTGTCTTTTATTCTTTTATTTGTGCCTGATGCGTTTCGCTGCTGTGGATCGGGGCGCATCACCTGTTTAGTCCTCGGTGACGCACCTAACTGATGTGGCCCGCGAGCACTCCGCTGTTTTTGAGGTCGGTAGATCTTTTAGAACTGCAGTTCAAAGGTAACTCATGAGGTGAATATATATGAACGCAGGCAGCAGTTTTTCTTTAGGACTGAGAGGAGATGCAGGAAGATAATAAACAGACAGGACAGAAAAATAGTCAAATAAAAACAAGTTAGTTTTTGTACCTGGTGGTTGCAACAAACAGACACCATTGAAGGTAATCAGAAGTGAGGAACAGAAAATGAAATAATTATTTTAATGTTTAGAGCAGCAGGAACTCCGAGAGGCTGCAGGCGCATCAGTGAGTTTGCGGCCGCTGCGCAGGGGGAGGGGGGAGAGGCCTGAAGCGGGGGAGGGGGGAGAGGCCTGAAGCAGGGGGAGGGGGGAGAGGCCTGAAGCAGGGGGAGGGGGGAGAGGGCTGAAGCAGAAACTACCGTTGTTAAAAGAAATGTGTTTAACTTAGAAAATGTGGGCGCACTTTTAATTGTCAAAAACTCCAGCGAACCATTAGTTCATTTTGCTCAAATAGAAATAGAGGCCTGCCTCTAATTCTGGTCCTCCTTCCAATAAAGGCCTGGAGCTTGATGAGCTTGAGTCAAATACAGGCCCGGGCCTGTATTAGAGGATTTACGGTATGCAAATTGATCCAACCATCTGACTATTTCTCTATGTTTTACCCACAGGACCTCATCCCCCACAGAACCTCTCCCTGTCAACCGTCACCTCCAACTCAGCGCTGATCACCTGGAGCCGCCAACTAAGGGGCATCCCGGATGGCTTTGTGATCAACGTGACCCGAGGGCTGAACACCAGGAGTCGCTTCCTGCCCAACGGGAAGTTAGGATCATATTTGCTTCGTGAGCTGACGCCAGGACATCACTACCACGTGGCTGTCATGGCTGTCAAAAACGCAGGCCAGGAGCAAATTCACAGCGAACCACGACACGTAGCATTCACCACATGTGAGTGTGACAATCTCTCATGATGTGGCTGCACATCATAGCAAAGTGTGTTAAATCTGCCCACGAAGGAGTTACTTGACTAATGGTGCTGACGTCACTAATATCACTTTTTTATGACACAGTGCCAATGCAGATCAGACCAGGAAGGAAAGAGAGGCCCACAGTTGCAGGACAGGGGTCTCAGAGTGGACGTGTGCTTCAGTCGTCTTACACCCAAGACCTGGGAGGAACTATAGAAACAGAGACCTCATACGAGTCCCTCAGGTGTCTAAAGCTCAAAACTCTCACAAAAATAGGCACAGAAGAAGCAAAGCCATTGATAATATTTGAATTTGTAGAAATTCTTAGGTGTGTTCTTGCTGTGTCGTATCTCTAATTCCATGCTGTAGTTCTTTTTTAAAACACAGAGCTGTGTTTTAAAAAAGAACTACAGCATGGAACTGTAGAAACTGTCTAATTTTTCTGGTGTTGCTGTGTGCAGGTATACTGAACTGGTTGACCGAAGAGGAAAGATAACGGCCAAGTTCACTCACTTGCCTCGGAAAGCCATTCGACATCGCACAAGTATGTTTAAGTTACGTCACAAGCTACGTGACAAACGAAAACAAGTCCAATTTTATCAATACGGTCATAACGTAAAAAACCCCACCCTCTCATTTCTATTTCAAGGCGTAATTTAAATGATTCTGCCTCACCAGGTTCTAAAAGTATTCAAAGTCTTACCTCAAATGTTCACAAACGTAATACAAAATCTAAAACATCGGTGTGAAAACTGAGCAGAATGTTGCTGCGGCCACCCAGAAGCTGCTGATCACACCCGCCTGAGTAAGTGGCCATAATCAGTGTGAGCTCCTCTGTAAGTTTTGCCTCCGTGCTGCTCTGGATTACACAGGTGAGTAGAGGAAAAACGCCAGCAATGGCTCTAGAAAGGTAACTGTCGCTGCCCATTTATAAGGGACGAGTAAAAGGTCAAACTCAAACATTTTAGAGTTATTCCTTCTATAGAAAGAAAGATGAGAGAATCTTCACGCGAGTGGACAGACTAGCAGGTTCACCCTTACGTTGGTTTATGCAAAACCCTAGAACTGAGGCCTAGTCCACACGTAGCCGGGGTTTTTTAAAAACGAATATCCGCCCCTCCAAAAACTTGCATCCACACCACCTCGTTTAAAAAAAACTGTCCACACGTACCCGGATAAATACGTTGTTAAGGACATGCCAGACCTGTAGGCGGCAGTACTTCCCCCGTTCTTAACCTCGTCCTTCGTCTGTGGTCTTCCACAAGGAGCAGTAATTCCGCTTGCAAAAACAAACAAGCAAAAAGCGCTTGGACGATTGATAAAGCGAGCGCAGCTCTGAGGGCTTCCATGCTGTCGGCTAGTGTAAACACAGGTCGCACACGTGATGTCAGTATTTTTTGTGGCGGAAAGTGACGTTGCGGACCTTAAAACTCCGGTTTTGTCTGTCCACACGCAGACACCCAAAACGGAGAAAACGCAGATCTTCACTTTGGCCGGAGTTTTTAAAAAGATCCGTTTTCGGACATTTTTCTACGTTTTGGGTGTCTGCGTGTGGACAGACAAAACCGGAGTTTTAAGGTCCGCAACGTCACTTTCCGCCACAAAAAAAATGCTGACATCACGTGTGCGACCTGTGTTTGCACTAGCCGACAGCATGGAAGCCCTCAGAGCTGCGCTCGCTTTATCAATTGTCCAAGCGCTTTTTGCTTGTTTGTTTTTGCAAGCGGAATTACTGCTCCTTGTGGAAGACCACAGACGAAGGACGAGGTTAAGAACGGGGGAAGTACTGCCGCCTACAGGTCTGGCATGTCCTTAACAACGTATTTATCCGGGTACGTGTGGACAGAGTTTTATTTAAACGCGGTGGTGTCGATGCAAGTTTTTGGAGGGGCGGATATTTGTTTTAAAAAAACCCGGCTACGTGTGGACTAGGCCTCAGTCTCAGAGTCTACAGGTTTAGTTAGCGGTTAACATTCATGACAGAAAAAATAGAAAGAGGAATGACTTGTTTGGAAGGTTTGTAGGATGAAATTCTCTAAGAAGAATATGGCAAGGGTGATAAAGACCTCTGGAACAAGGTCCTTTGAACAGAGAAGACCAAAGTAGACATGTTAACTCGTGATATACAGCACTGTGTTTGGATAACATAACACAGCACATCAACTCTAGCATCTCACACAGGCTGTAAGCATGGTGGCTGATGATTTGGTCACCGTGCAGCCATTGCTTCCACCATGAACCTGTCAGTTGGCTCAAGGTCAAATACGTTGCCACCTGTGTGAAAGCTGAAGCTTGGACCAAATCGGGCCATTAAACAGAACAATGATCCCAAACAGCAGCAGATCAACAAATAAAATAAAATGTGGTGCAAAAGAGAATTTATTTCAGTAATTCTACTTAAAAGGTGAAACTAACATAAGAGATGGGCTCATTACAAGCAAAGCCACATTTCAAGCCTTTGTTTGTTATAATAGTGTAGATGATGATGGTAATGATGATGATGGCTTACAGCTGAAAACTCCACATTCAAAATCTCAGACAATCAGAATATTGTGAAATGGCCCCGTTTTCCAGACTCTTATGGGCCATTCCCATCTGTACCGGGTCGGCCCGGGCCGGGTAGCCCCAGTCAGCCCCAGCCTGGCCCGGTTGATTCCACACATCCTTGTCTTAAGCCCATGTGGGCTGATTCTACCCGCCAATCAGAGGCTTGCTCTAATGGAAGGTGTGAATTTGCTGTCAGCAGTGGGTGTGTTGGCCCTGGTCGGCCTGAAGCAGACCCCCTCGAGAAGAGGGCTGAGAATGAGCCTTGGTTGGCCCGGAAAAATACCAGGCCAACCAGATATGTAAACAACCTACGCTACCCGGCCCGGGCCGACCCGGTACAGATGGGAATGGCCCAAAAGTGTCGCATTTTAATCAGCTAATGGACCCAAAACACCTGCAAAAGGGTTCCTGAGCCTCTAGATGGCCTAAGTGGGATTAATGACATGAATGGACTTTTGCACCATTTTCTCATTTTTCCAGTTCCACCCATGCAACAGAATGTCTGAATGTCTGAAAAAGGAAAGAATCAAGGTGGATCAGTCCAGTCCTCAACCTGTTTGGTAGGAACGGAAGAGCTGCGCAGGAACAAATCCTCACAAAACTTAATGAACTGAAGCAGCATTGAAAATAATAGCGGAGCAAATTAGTTTTCAAAAATTTGAGAGACTCGTAAAGTCAAACTGAAATATTTGTGTTGCCAGTGCTAAAAGTGGTTTTACAAACTTGTGGTGGTCTTAGGTTACCACAAACCGTTTTTCCATTTTGTTTTTGTTTAATAAACACCCACAAGGTGCAGTTTGTTGTGTTTTTGCTCAACTGAGGTTAGATTTCAATGATTTCAGAAGCTTGGAGATTGTTTTATAAGATTCTGATATGATAAACCATTTAATTTAAAATAAGTGGATTTAGGCAGGTGTGGAAAAATGTTGTAGACAATGAACGCTTTCAAAAACCCAAGAGTTAACCATTTACGTTCACCAATCAGCAAAAACAGAGAATGAACATAAGAGAAACTGAATATCTGGTGTGAGTGCCCTCTGCATCATTTCTTCTGGCTGTGCTTGAACAGAGCTGCTGAAGGAACTGGGTCTGTAGGTTGTTCCAAACGTCTCGGAGAACCATCCTCAGATCTCCTGTGGATGTAGGCTTCCTCACATCCTTCTGTCTCTTCGTCTAATCCCAGACACGCTCCATGATGATGAGATCAGGGCTCTGTGGGGGCCAGACCATCACTTCCAGGATTTCTTGTTCTTTATGCTGAATACAGGACTTTATGACTTGGGCTGCTTTGCATTTTGTGAATTTATTAAAAAAAACACATTATTTATATTTCTGAAAGCATTCTTTGCAGCATTTTTTTAAATAAGCCCTGCCTAAAACTCTTGCACAGTACTGTGTGTCCAACCATCGGTCACCAATGTTTGTTCATTATGTGGTCATAAAAACTGAACTTATCTGGATCAAATACTGGTGGTTGTTCCATGAGATCCCATTCAATGGATTATATGCTTCTAACAGCTTCAGAATTGCTGATAAAATGGCAATATTAGGATGTTCAACGGTCACAAGACTGTTTTATACCCTACATGTTTCACTCCAGAGATGTCGTCTGCACACCCAGCTGAATCTAAATCTCCTTTGAGATGTTGCTTCCTGTGTAGGACTGTTTTGTTCACATGGCCTGTTGTTTTTTATGCTGAGGAACGTACGCAGTGTCTCAGTGCAACGTCCAAATTCCACTGGAGTCATCATGACATGGTATTTATTTTGCCGTTTCACAATCACACATAACAGGAAATGTTTTCCCTGCAGAGCCTGATCCACCTATCAGATTAGAGAAGCTGGAGGAAACGACAAACAAAATTAGCCTTGCACTTGAAATGGAAGAAAAAGGCTCTAAATCACAGTCTGGTAGGTATTTTACTGTTCGAAATACTTTTTTTAACGCAAGGCATATAAATAATGTCAGCTAGTTTGACTCTTGTTCGTGAGATGAGTGTGGGTAGTGGCGGCTATCAACACATGCTATCAGCTGTGGATAATATGAACTAGTGAGCCTGAAACCTGAGTCCAGCTAACGCTGTTGTGAGGATGCTAACGGCAGCTGCTGTCTTTAGAGTTGTCCCAAGACTGCCGCGGTCGCTCCTGCCAGAACGGGGGCACGTGTGTGAGCGAAGGAGACGCCTTCATCTGCAGCTGTGCAGCAGGATTTAAAGGCAGACAGTGTGAACTGTGTAAGTTTATATGCGTCTCATCTTAAAGTCCACACACACACACACACTTACAGAAGGATTCAAACAATGTAGCTGATTTTAAACAAATACACCAAAGTGTTGCTTCTCTTTTTATGTTTGTGTTTTCATCAGATTAGCTGTAAACATGCGTCTTTCACAAAAATGTCCACACTTTCAGCTTTTTCTGCTCGTTACTAATCCGAGGACGACAACACCTGCAGCCAAGCTTAAGTCATGCAAACTGTTGCCTGATTTAATGTTGTTAGGGACGCCACTTCCATGTTTCTCCTTTGCTTTTGTAGATTAGCCACTCCAAATGGTAGATGGCCTGTATTTGATATAGCACCTTCTGAAGTCCTGGAACCCCCCAAGGCACTTTACAATACAATCAGCTGAGCTTCCCCAGCTCAGGAATTGCAGCATGAAGGCATGATGTCTGTGAAGGTTCTCAGTCATCCAGGTCATTGTAGTCTAAGGAGCTTGAAAGAAAAGCGTCTGGACTTCTTCAAGTTGCTTGAAGAGCTCACCCGAAACTCTGGCTGAACAGGACCCACACCCACCCTCACACCTGGGCTCATGTGTTTATGTAGAAGATCATCAGGGGGTCTTTTGTTCCCTCTTCGGGGGGAAACTCCCACTGGGTTTGAATCTGGGACTCTCCACCATTTGACCTTAGAACTGAAGAAGCCTCTCGGATGAGAGGTGAAACGTCTTCAAGCAACTCAAAGAAGTCCAGACGCTTTTCTTTCAAGCTCCTTAGACATGAACGCATGAGTGGGTCTGGTGTGAAGAAGATCAGCAAAGAAGCCACTTTTCTCCATGAAAAACTTCAGAAACAGATTGATATTCAGCTAAAGGTCTGATTTTGGACTGCTAAGGACTGCCAGGAAGTCATTTCCTCTGATGACTCCCCTTTGTTGGCATCTGGAAAAATGATTTTCAGGAGAAAGTAAGGTTAGAGCTTCCATCCATCCTGTGCATCCTGAGACCATTCATTTAAGGGGGTTGCTACACAGCTGAGTGAGTTAACTCACTGACAGCTCAACCTCAGAACACAACCATGAATAAAGAATGATGCCTAAACATCCTCCCAGAGGAACTACTGCCAGCAGTCCAAGAACAGGTTGGTGGTGAGCAACGTCTTTTCCAGCATGACAGATCAATGTGTCATAAAGATCAAATCAGAACTAAGGGAATCGAGGAATAAAGCATCACTATTTTGGTTCCACATCCAGGATATGCCACAGTCCCATTTGAGAAAACTGAGAAGAGACGACTAACTAGAAAATACAACTTCTGACAAATTCCAAGCATGGATTACGAAGAATGAGTTGTCGTTGGTCAAGATTTGGACCAGAAGTTGGTTGACAGCATAACAGGGTGAACTGCAGAGTTCTAGAAAAAGGATCAACTCCGCAAATATTGAGTTTTAGATTTTGATTAATGTAGATGTGAATGCAAAATTTCTCTTGTTGGCTCTTCCTTCTTCCATCTCAGGAACGTTGCTAAGCTGAGTCCCATTCTGTCCCGCTCTGAACTTGAGACAGTTCTCCACACCTTCATCTCCTCACGCTTAGACTACTGTAACTCTCTTTTCACGTGTCTGAGCAGAACCTCCCTGAACCGTCTACAGGTGGTTCAGAACGCCTGTGCTCGGCTTCTGACCAAGTCCTCCAAACACACCCACATCACCCCGCTTCTCCTCCAGCTTCACTGGCTGCCAGTCAACTTCAGGGTTCATTTCAAGATCCTGGTTCTGGTCTATAGGGCCTTACATGGACAAGCACCATCTTACATTATGGTGATGGGATCACCTCATTTGTTGAGAGAACCTGTATTGAATTTATGTCTAAGGGAAATGCCAATTGAGCAGGTTAGAGAAGTTAGGTTACTGGGTTTAACGCTAAGTTGGAATAATCAAGTGAAACAGATTTTAATTAAAATGGGAAATAACATGAGGACTGGTAGAAAATGTAGTATTAGTTGAAGCTATTGTTCTGAGTCACTTGGACTATTGTGCAGTAAGTTGGGCTGCTACTACGGAAGCAAACTTAAGTAAGTTACAGGTCGCACAAAATAAGGCTGCTAGATTAGTCTTAAATTGTTCTTTAAGAAGGAGTTGTGAGGACCTGCGTACTGCTCTAGCATGGATGGGTGTAAGGAGTAGAAGAAAGTACTTACTTATAAAATTTATTAGGAATGTTATAAATACAGACACCAGACATTTTTTTAAATCAGTTGACATTTTTTAGAGATGTTCACCAACATGCTACGCGTCAAGCTGATGGCTGCTTTTTGTTGCTAGTTAGTCGAACTAATTTTCTACACAGGTCAGTGTTGTATAGAGCTGCGGTGGAATGGAATAGTTTACCACAGTTCTCGAGGGGTCAGCTACAAAGGAGTGATTTTTGTGGGAGGTTGCGGATGTTTATTTATACTCTTTGTACACGAGTTTGAGGAAGATGAGTTTACTGACTCAGTGGCCTAGTGGTAGAGTGTCCGCCCTGAGATCGGGAGATCAGGGGTTCGATTCCTGGTCGGGTCATACCAAAGACTTTGAAAAAATGGGACCCAACGCCTCCCTGCTTGACACTCAGCATTAAGGGGTTGGATTGGGGGGTTAAACCACCAAATAGTTCCCGAGCGTGGCTCGTCTGCAGCTCACCGCTCCCCCAGGGGATGGGTCAAATGCGGAGAATAAATTTCACCACACACCTGTGTGTGTGTGTGACGACTAAATGGGACTTTAATCCTAATCTTTAATCTTTTATGTTTTTATTCATTTTATGTTTTGTTGTCCAGTATGTGTGGAGTAATTTGCGTTTAATGTTACGGGAAATGTGTGTTATTTTGGTGCTGTGTTGGGTGGAATGTGGTGTGCTCTTATAGAGGAGATTTATATTGTACAGTGATTGTTTGTTTGTGAGCCCAGTGTTGATGCATGAATGATGTTTTTTTTGGGGGGGATGATGTTATGACCCCAGGAAGAATAGCAACTGTTTTAACAGTGGCTAATGGGGATCTTAATAAACAAACAAACAAACAAACATTGGTGATCTTCTCAATCCCTACACCCCCAGCAGGTCCCTGAGGTCCAGTGATCAAAGCCTACTGGTTGTGTAGCACCAGGCTAAAGGTCAAAGGTGACAGATCATTTGCTGCTGTGGCCCCCAGACTCTGGACCTCTCTCCCCCTGAGCCTGAGATCAGTGGACTCAGTGGTCTCCTTTAAAAAGCAGCTGAAGACTCACTTGTTCAAGCTGGCTTTTGTATGACCTTCTTCACCTCTCTCTCTTTATTCTGCTCTCCCCACCTATCCCACCTTCCTCAGGATCCACTGATTTCCCTCTTTCCTGTTCACTCTCTCTCTTTCTTAACATTTTTTAATCACAATTAACTATTTTTTGCTCATTTTAAATATATTTTTAACCATTTTCTAAATTATTTTTTACATTTTTACATTTTTTGTTTTTGTGAAGCGCCTCGTGATTTTTATCGAGAGGCGCTATAGAAATGATATTTTCTTCTTCTTCCTAACAGTCTGTGAAATCACAATCAAATTCTGGCTCGGTTTTTGAGAGCTCCTGAAGATAAAATTCAACCATTTCTGCCAATTAAACTCAGAAACTTCAGAAAAACTGGACAGAGATCATGAACCTCTCATAGACAAAACACCTTTTTGGGTTCTAGGCATTATTTAAAGTGCAAGTCACCCCCAAAACTACTTTATTTCTGATAAACTATACAAATGGGTGTCTACTCATGCTGTAGACATGCGTAGTCAATAATTTGGCATTTTAGTACATCTTAGTTAAAAATTTAATATTCTACCCAAAACTTTCAATACTGCACCATCTTCAGGTAAATACTCTGAACTGCATTTAAATTTAAATCTGCCATAGCTATTGGCTAAGAAGTACACTATGACGTTTGCTGGTACATTATGATGTCACAATGTCGAATAAATTGTTTTCTTTCTTTCTTTAAAACATATTAAATTATGTTATATTTCAGTCGCCATACAAACATTTGCCATTAGATCTAAAAAATCAACACGTCTCATTCTCTTAACATTTACCCATGGCTGTAGATTAGGAAGTTGTAAAAATGGGGTGGAAAAAACTTGGTTTTGTGTTTAATTCCATTAAGATTTCTAGTTTCCAAATGTTTGATTTTCAGAACTCATATAATGGTTTCTAGTTATCACTCATATCATTCTTCATAAAGTACATTTTCTGTTTAAAAGGGTAGAAACATTAGACTGACGTCTCGTTTTAGAACATGTTAAAGAGCAAAAACATCCTCCCACACTGGAGTCTCGTTATTCACGCTTCTCCTGAAACCATTCATCGGTGAGAGAAGTCCCAGTTCCATCCAAGACTTCCAAACTCTCCGACAGGGTTTTCCTTGATGAAAACACTCATAACCGTTGGTGTATGGTTGTTGTTTTTGCAGTGTGCCAGCGAGTACCACACTCATGTACCCGTCTCTATTCTGAAACTAAAAGTGTACCTGTCTGGGAGGGTGGAGTGTGCCACTACCTGTGAGTTTGTTTGGGTCATCTTGGCTTTGCACTCTTGTAGTTTTGATGAATGTTTGGTAATTTGGTGAACCAAAATGTCATTTTGTTTCCATGTCTGCAGGTATAAAAGGACCTATAAAATACAACAGGATGTTTGCTATCGAGAGATTTGTGAACCAGTGCTCCCCAAGAAAAGTCAAAGTAATCTGAGTGCATACTGACTGGGTTGTCTCCAGCAAATTAAACTATTTAGTTCTTTTAACATCAACATTTTTCTTTCCTAACAGCCAGAAGAAGAACCAGACAACAGTAAAGGTTGGTTTTCCTGATTAAACATAACATATTCCGCATTGATGATCCCACTTTCCAATCTAGCTCTGGTCCTCTACCAGAGGTGGTTTTTGGCAGTATCTTACCGTTACTTCACACTGGAAGCATCAGCGGCGTGGAATGGCACTGCTGTAGTCTATGGGGGTAGTTCAAACCAGCCGCAAGGCAGACATTTTCTGGCACGTCCCAGAAGTGGCTTGCCATGGTTTTTGGCGTGAGCCGCTTCTGGGACGTGTCAATTTCCGCAGTTAACATTGAGCTAGACAGGAAATCACACACGGTTTCGGTTTAAAACCCCCCGGTAATTTTCTTTTCTTTTTTCTTTTTTTTTTACCGTCTCCTGTTCGACTGTGAACCAACCAGAATTGATGTCTGAATGCCGAAGACAAGCCGTACAGTTTTCCTCTTGCAGGAGGCCTGTATATGTAAGGTTTCTCTATAGAAGTGTCCAGTAGTGAGTGTGAGGGGCCGCAGACCTACCCCCAAAGACGTGCGGAAGATGTAGTTCCAAGCCCCAGAGATCCAAGGGTCTCCCTGGAGTGCTGGGACCCCAGGGGACAGCCGCCGGAGAAGGCCCAACCCCCCTCCCGAGAGGTGCAGAGGATTACCTCGGGAGCCCCAACCAGCAGCAGCCAGAGCCCTGGGGACAACAACGGCAAGTCCCCGGTACTGCCCACAACCACCCCCGGTAATTTTCTAAATAAGACTATTGCAGAGATGACATTTCATATCTATGAAGATTACGTCATGTGACCTAACAAATTACTTACTCCCAGCATCGTTCCAGAACTGCAGTGGTGTGTTTTTATGGCTTCAATCCTGACAGCGGAGAGAAACTGTGACAAACAACAAAATCGAACTTAATTTCCTTGTTTTTGGTTTAATGGCGGCAGACGGTATAAACGAACCGTGACCTTTTAAGTCTCACAAGGATTCTGTGATCTCACGAGTCCAGTGAGGAACACGGTGGAGAAGCTGCGGAGTGGCTGAGATTCGCCCGTGTACTGGCATGCGGCAAAACTTGCAAGTAAACCGTTCCGCGCCGCTGATGCCTCCAGTGTGAAGTAGGGGTTAACTGTTCCTAGAACCAGTTAGAAACTCCTGTTATAAAATTAACATCGTTTTCAACTGTTAGTTCAAATACCTGATTAATTTTTTTTTTCACATTTTCTAGTGCATCTGGATGCTGAAATAAAGACTGTCATCACTGGCATGTAAAAAAAACTCCTTTCTTAATTTGTGGTGTATATAATCTACTTGAAACAACGGACTGAGATAATTTTTGTGCTGAGAAACCCTGTCAAGACCCACTGTAACACATCAGAAACAGTCCTGGCTGAATCTGAACGCTTCCTCCTCAGAGTCGTATGAAGCTCTGTGCTTCATGTAAGCAATGAAAGGACAAATGAGCCACATCAACCAGAATGTTGCTGGTTTTGAGCAAATATTACGATGCAGCATAAGAGACATTATATACCTCATTTTCATGTCCATGCTGACACATCAGGAGAGGCTTCTTTTTGTGGTTTGTCCCCTCAGGGAAATTGTTGTAATGCACTTAGAGTCCCTGTTGTTTCTCTTTTTGAAGTAAATGAAATAATATTAATAATAATAATAATACCAACTCCACAGCCCATGAATTGATCTCATGCTCCGATGATGGGGCAAAGTGTTCGGAGTAAAATATCTTACTCTGTGTCTTAGCACACATCACTGCTTGCTACTCTGTAAATAGTGTTTATAGGTCATTTTGTAGGTGAATATTTTAATAATAAAAATGATAAAATACTTTTATTTTCTGGTGTGCTTTTGTTTTTATATATTTTTGTGATTTCTTTCCGTTTATTCTTCAAATTTAATCTATGATCATGGAAAAAAACAAGAAAAAAGATCCATGATCATGAGAATGTTTTTTTTTTCAGGAATAAATGTTACAAGGACAAATTTACTGTGTGTTTATGTTGCAGTGAATTGCTGAGTGCATAAATCACATAGTGGAGGCCAAAGAGCTTGAAAGTAAAGAGCAGCACTTGAACTGGAGTCCATGTGCATGATGCAGTGTAGCTTAAGGTAAAAAAGCACACACTAGTGGGGTCTCCCATGGAAAATATGGTCCGACAAAAAGCTCGTCAAAGGATCATTCGTGGATAAGGCTCCAGAGAACCGAAATATCTAGCCTGAGGAGGTAGACCTGTCATGGAGTCAGGCCTGTGTTTAGGGTCGGCCATTCAGTGAGCATTTGGTGGCTGGGCTTTTCCCCTCGGGGCTGAGGCCTAGTCCACATGTAGCCGTTTTTTTTAAACGAATATCCGCCCCTCCAAAAACTTGCATCCACACCACCTCGTTTTAAAAAGAAACTGTCCACACGTACCCGGATAAATACGTTGTTAAGGACATGCCAGACCTGTAGGGGGCAGTACTTCCCCCGTTCTTAACCTCGTCCTTCGTCTGTGGTCTTCCGCAAGGAGCAGTAATTCCGCTTGCAAACACAAACAAGCAAAAAGCGCTTGGACGATTGATAAAGCGAGCGCAGCTCTGAGGGCATCCATGCTGTCGGCTAGTGTAAACACAGGTCGCACACGTGATGTCAGCATTTTTTTGTCGCGGAAAGTGACGTTGCGGACCTTAAAACTCCGGTTTTGTCCGTCCACACGCAGACACCCAAAACGGAGAAAACGCAGATCTTCACTTTGGCCGGAGTCTTTAAAAAGATCCGTTTTCGTGTGAAAAAACTCCGTTTTCGTGTGGATGACAGGCCAAAACGTAGAAAAATATCTACGTTTTGGCAGATCCCCGGCTACGTGTGGACAGGGCCTAAGACAGGCCCAGTATGAACCAGTTACACATTTTCTCCAGTGGAACCACTTGAAGGAGCATGAAAGGATTGGTGCTATGGGGAACTTTTTTAAGCCCAGAGTCGTAGCTTTAATGGTCCAATCATCCGTCACAAAAACTGGCAACTGGAACAAGGAACACCACTTGTCTAGCGGGTAAAAATCTGGCGCTTGTGGAAGAGATTGAGCGATACAGAATAGGTATTGGAAGGCTCGCCTTATTAAAGTACTGGCTCTGAAGCCCAAGTTGATGAGAGTGGTTGGACTTTCTTCTTTGCTTGAGTTGGTCCAAATGAGAGGCAAATGATGAGGATGACAACCCCAAACTCTCATCTTACCTGTGCTTTTGGGTTGTGGAACAGCTCATGACTGTGGTTTGCACTTGTGCAATAAACCCCCATTTTGGAGGCCCTGCAATGACAGATGACACCCCCAAAAGAAACGTGTTGTTCCTGCTGGAGACCTTGATGCTCGTGTTGGCAATAACAGGGTGGCCCGAAGGAATGAAAGGGAGAAACAGCATGCATTATTTGTGTTGTTCTAGTTTTCAACTTCTGTGCAGGCTGCAATTTTGCCAAAACAAACAACATTTAAACATTTAGATGTCTTAACAACAATCTTGGATGGCCACAGGTTGATGATCTGATTGGTGAATGCATCATTACCTGTGGCTGAATGCTCTGACCCTCAGGTAAAGAGAGGAGCAGAGCAACCATCTGATCACCATTTTGTGGTGAGTTTGCTCAGATGGTAGCTGCAAAGATAACCATGATTATTTTACATGATTTTACAGATTTTCCAGAGATTTTGCTTAGAAAACTCACTCTACACTTGATTTGTAATTTTGATGTTTTACCTCCACAAATAACACAAGCCTGGAGGAGTTCTGCTGTGTGGCGGAGTTGCTAATGCTAACGGTTAGTTTCTACTAGTCTAGACATTTTCTGTTTCCTGGACACTAAACCAACACCAGCCTTCCCTGTTGTGAGGCAAGATGGGTGAGTCCATGAATGTTAGTGACAGTGTGACGTAGATCTGGATTTTCTAATCCTAGAGTTTCACCGTCTATTTTCTATTAGAAGCTAATGCGGGAGATAGGTGTAGGAGACCGTTTTCAAGTTGAGCCTGCATGAAAAACTCAGTGATTGATTATCAGAAATAATCATTAAAAACCACACCTTTAATTATATTTACCTAAAAGCCTTTTTTGAATTTTTGTAAAAAGACAAAAAGGTTTAACTGTTGACAACTGGTTAGGGTTAACTCTGAAGGACGGAGACACCTTAATGAGTTAAGATGCCAAATTTCTACTAGTGCAGTTGTTATTATGAATATTACTTTTTACCTAAATGTTGTCCATATCTTTTCAAATTTCGTCAGTGAGAATATTATTTGAACAGGGATAAATCATATTATTGTTATGTAGAGCAGGAATTACAGAAAGGTGTTGTTGATTAAATATTAAAATGGCTTGCCATACAGGGTTGTACACAGATACAGGGGAAACGTAGAGCAACACAATATTAACAGTCGTTCATTGGATTGTTCTAATATTACTGTTAAATATGTTCAGTCGCTAACGTAATCTGACTTAGTTGGAGCTAGCTGGTCTGCATGATGATCTCAGAGATAAGAAGTTGGGAGTGTCGCAACCTTTGTTTCTGCCGGCTCTGCAGATGGACGAGACACCGTTCTGATTTTCTCTTTCAGCAGCTTTGAGAGTCTAAAATATCCATCATAGGAGTCTTGAAGCACTTCCTTGGTGGAAACAAAGAAGTCCCAGTGGTTGTTGACGATGGTTTTGCTGCATGTGTTTGTTCTGTTTCACTTTTGCTTTGGTTTGCTAATGTATTTTTATTTGTTTTATTATTTGTTCTTTTCGTTTATTAATGCATTTATCTCCTCCTCTGTAGATTATTGTAACAAACCTTCACATTTTAAAGGATGTATGTATTGCTATTTTACACTTCCCAGACCAAAGACAGGCACAATGTATGATAAATATAATCGTTGACACTATTGAGATTTCATTTTTTTATTGAATACATTTTTTTTTGTGAGCCATTACTTCAACCCAGAAATATTAGTTGCATGTAAATGTTGGCGACAACATGGAGGAAGTTGAAACCAGAGCATTGAAATACTACAATGGAACTACAACAACGAGCCACTGGTTCAGCTATATGGACAACACATGGGTCAAAATTCTCACGCAGGAAGTAGAAGACTTTACCGAGCTCATTAACATCGTGGTAAAGAACATCAAGTTCACCAGGGAGGATGCCCACAACAACACACTGCCCTTCTTGGACTGTGCTGTGCAAATTTAACAAGACGGAGCCATTGAAGCACAAATGGACGTAATTTTGGGGGGGACAGGGGGACATGTCCCATCCCCCCCCCCCCACTTTTTCCAAAGTCAAGTTTTGACCCCTGCACTTTTTACCATCCAAAAACAATATTACGCTATATTAAAGTGACACTGTTGAGCTCTAGGACCAAGCAGAAAACAACCGTTTGTGTTGAAGCCTGTTTCCCATTAGAGCATACTGTAAAGATACCATACCCCCCCCCCCCCCCACACACACACACACACCCGTGTCCCCCCCACTTCTTAAGTGAAAATTACGTCCATGGAAGCACAGAATGTCAGTAATCAGGACGGACATTTCTGTGTATAATCGGGCTGAAAATATTCCCACAAAGATTGAAGGAAAGCAAAAGGAAGAAAAACGTATCAATAAATCTCTCTGGAATAGCAGATACTCCAACTGGGCCTTTGTGAAATCAACAGAGAAGTCTGGAGATGAATCCAAAGCAGTGACTAGTAAAGAAAAGGCACCAGGCACAAAGGCACCGTTATCCCATACGTGGCAGGAGTCTCAGAGAAACTTAGGAGAATCTTCTCCAAACACAACATCCCGGTGAACTTTAAACCCAACAGCACCCTCAGACCGAAACTGGTCCATCCAAAAGACAAAACACCCAAACAGAAGCTTAGTGGCGTCGTTTATGCAGTCATAAGTAGTGAGGACAGTCCAGACTTTTACACTCGGGGAAACAAAACAACAATTACACAAGTGCATGGCACAACACAAGAGAGCGACATCTTCAGGTCAAGACTCTGCAGTCCACATATGGCGCCCTTACATATTAGCTTCGGCACGGTCAGGTACAGGACCGGTACGGAACTGGAATTTGGTTTCACACATAGGTTAGATATGCATTTTCCAGTCCGAAGCGACTCCTTTTTTCAGACCTCCTCCCCAGAGGTAGTGCCACTACGGGCTGAGTGGCCGGCTGAATTTACGCCTACCACCTCCGATTGGCAAGTAGAATCCGCCAGCGGGTGGTTCCCACATTCGCGATTCCTTTTCATGCCGGATGCTGTTAAGTAAACTTTTCTGTCTGTAGCACGGAGCTGCTGCTCAGTGGGAATAGGAGAAGAGAGAGCTGTGCTTATATGTGTGTCCCTGTCCTCTGCATCGTAGCTCTTGCCCTAGCGACCCGACAGACCACTGCTCAGAGGAGAAAGGTGTGTGTGTGTGTGTGTGTGTGTGTGTGTGTGTGTGTGTGTGTGTGTGTGTGTGTGTGTGTATGTGTGTGTGTGTGTGTGTGTGTGTGTGTGTGTGTGTGTGTGTGTGTGTGCGTTAGGGCTGTCGCGATTGAGGAACTCCCCCTGCGGTGAGTCAGGGCAGCTCAATATTGCGATATGCGATATTATTGCACCCCGTTTTTATTTATGTACTTAGCAAATTTGTTTGTTAATTACTAAACTCATGGCAATATTTCCTTTGAAACATTGTGCTTACACATTTAAAAAATGTTAGAAAAAAATACATGGCCATTTTTAACACTTTATTGAATGCAGATCAAAGGGCAGTAACGGCATTCTCTGACTGAACTTAAAAACAACATTCAGGAGGTTTAACTTTGAAATGCAAATTTGGCTGCAACATCTAACAGAAATAAAAAAAAGTCCCCTACTATCTCCTCGATCAGCGCGGACTTTACCTCTCAGCATGCGCTGTCGCGAGATTTTATCAAGTGCGGTAATTGCGGTGGCACGTCATGCAGCACGGTGGGTTTCTTAATATCGCGATATATTGTTCTTGCGATTATTGTGACAGCCCTAATGTGTTTGTGTGTGTGTGTGTGTGTACAGCAACTATCCTATAGGACCAGAAATGGCATTATCACTAATCGTCCGTGTTGGCACCAAAACCCTGTCCTCATATTGTCTACTCCCCGTTTTAGGCTTAGGTGTAAGATTTACACATAAGATGTGAATTGGGTTTTTGTTACAGTTAAGTTTAGTAATACACTGGTTAGGGTTAGGTTAAAGGTTTGGGTTAGGCATAAATGCAGTTACTAAAATGAATGGAAGTCAATACAAATTCCTAACATGGGTAGAAATACAAGATTGTGTGTGTGTGTGCGTGTGTGTGTGTGTGTGTGTGTGTGTGTGTGTGTGTGTGTGTGTGTGTGATATGGCATTGAGATTAAACTATTTGTTTTTCAGCTGGTGATTACGTTAGGTAGATATTTAATGGGTAAAACTGAACGCAATAAGATTAGAATTTCCCTGAAGCTACTTGAGAAATATTTCCGACTGCACCTGAAAGCAGCATTCCGCCTGTGCGGTGGGAGCGTCCCCGCCGCCCCCCTCACTGTCCCGGGTGAAAACTGAGATAGTGAGGGGGGGAAAGGCAATGAGAGGACACACCGAAGAGGATAAAGCTTTATGTATTTAGCTATTCTGCCGTTTTTAGACACTTCAGACGTTTTCTTGTTTCGTTTTCACCCGCACAAATCAATGTGCAACAGTGCGTCCACGTCCAGCTCGTCTGGAAAACGTCGTAAATCTCCCGAATATCCTAACAGTGGATTGCAGTCTGACCGCGGAAGGTTAGCGCAACTAAACTAAAGTTAGCCCGCTTAGGCTAATTTAGCCTGTTTCAGCTAACAAGAAAAAAACACACCAAAAGACAGACTTGTGACAGACGGAGTTACGGTTCAAAGTAGCGCTGCGGCGTCGTTTGTAAGTAGTAATGTATCCTCCCGGGGTTAGTTTCAGGGACGGATGAGAAGGAAATAGTCGACTGGTAAACAGCGAGCTTAGCGTGCCCGACGATCGCGGCTATGTTGGGGTTGACTCGCTGCTCCGGCAGCCCGTGCGAGTCCCGAGGCTGGCCGCACTCGGTGCTGTGGAGGCTCGGGGGCTTCTTCTTCCTGCTGCTGCTGGAAGGCGCCGGATGCCTCGCCAACCCCGGCCACCCCACGACCGTAAACAACAGCCCCGGTATCAACATATACATGAGTGTGGAGGAGGTGAAGAAGTTTTTAGGTAAGAAGGCCCGTCTCCAGCTGATGTTTATGTCATTCACAAGTGCTGGACGCTAAACTCTGCTGTGGTGAAACATCACAATACCTCAAAACTCACACACCAGCATTAGATGCACTCTATTAACTAAACTATTCATTATATCCTCCATGTGTTCTGTTTGATTTGTTGATGAATCAGATTTGTTTGTGTTAATTGACTTTATTTTCTAACTGCAGATGGCATTCTAGGCTTATGGAAAGCACTTTTATGTAGTCCATTAACAAATGTCTCAGTTAAATAAGAGTGAAGAAAACAGCCTTGAGGCTTTTTAGAAGTTGTGTTCAGCAACAAGCTTTGATGTGTGATCAGGAGTGGTAAAAAAGGAGGGCAGGACTGAACCACACGTTTTACACACTGTTGGGTTGTTTGCACGTTCTGGTCAGGTGTAGTAGCAGAGTTCGGCTGTATCAGGTGTTTTATCAAACCCCGTTTTCCTGGCTGGAACATTGTCAAGTTGGCTAAATTAAACATCTAGTGTTTCAGGCAATGCCACAACTGTGACTGTGATGCTCCCCTGTGATGTTAATTTAAAATGGACTGTTCAGATCTTAGGAAGTGAAGGTCTCAGGAAATATTGTGATAAATTATTTTCTTAATTGTTGTAAATAGCTTTTTGAATGGGCTTTGTTTGGAGATACACAGATTTTGTTGTCATTAGACAGAAGAGCTGCCTGCAGGAATTAAAGTGGGAAAGATTTAATGTAATTGTTCAACAAAGATAAATAATACATGAATTAGAGGCCAATCGATATGGTTTTTTTTATAGCCGATACCGATTTTGAAAGAATTTTGTTGCAGATGGCCGATATCTAAAGCTGAATATTAAGGCTGATATATATATATTAGCAGCACTTTGATTAAGACAGCTGAACACTCACTGTGTGCAATAGAAATTAAATACGTCAACAAATCTGTTAATTTTCTCTCTTCTCATTCGCTGCCAGCGTTTCTCATCATTTTTATGCTTTTTTTTAAGAATCACAGAACGATGCGCGCTAGAACAGGGATTGAAGCAAAAAATTTTCATCTGACAGAAAATTATTGGGGGGGGGGGGGGGGCTCACATTGTTTACACGCAGCCACTATTCGGGTTTAAGGTCAGCATTCTTGTTTCTGAAAAATTTGGAATAACTCGTTCACATACACAGTGTTTAAAAGTGTGGGTGTTGAAATTTCTCTGAGGTAAAAAAGATGACAAGTATTAAAGTACTCTAGGGGTGTCGGGGGCATGCCCCAACGGAAAAAAATTATAAGACATTTTATATTTAAACGCATCAGTCTGGTGCACTTTTGGGGGGAAAAGTAGAGTTACAGGCTGGTAGCTGTGTATGATAAAGTATCTACACATGTTCATTATAATGATATATTTGAGTTAACAATGTTTTCCTGTCCTTTCTTAATCCATTATGAACGCAGACTACAGTGAAATCTGCAGATGCATCCATGCTGGTCAGTTCCAGAACCGCACTAGATACCAAAAGAACCAATCAGCTGGCAGAGCTCCATGTTGAACGTGTGAGCTGCAGAACTTGCAAAACTACGTAACTCAATTTAAGGAACAAAGTAGAATCCAGCTGCTGCTATTTATTTGTTGTTGGTGTTTATAGAAACTAAATATATCTGCAGGGCTTTAGGCCTCAGACCAGCTTTAGATCATGACCTGTTATTAATAATATCATGTTCTTTACACCATTCTGAGTATTCTGTAATGTTCACAGACATCCAAACCTTAGAAATGAAATATAATCAATATTAAAATAAAAATTATTCATATAATTTTTTCATTAAGATTAGTTATCTGTTATACTCATTTACATTTGTAGGAGCCAATATTGTTTTGGTTTAGATTACATTATGGTCTAAGTTTATTTTGATAATGTTTTATGTACATTTCAGTTTATTGCACTATGGTCTGTGTTTCCTTTAACCACTGGTGGCACTGCGGAGCCTATAAAGGTGTTGAGGCTGCAGTGCATTGGCGTTTTCTGGGTGACGGGAGGTCACACGGTTTTTACCGCTTCGTTTGGTTTCATATGCCACGTCTAATTTGCCGTTATAATTTTCATCATTTACATAAACCTGGACAAGAAATAGCCATTGTGGACCCAGCTTGTGATCGTCATCATATTCAATAAATGGGACAATAAACCCAAACCCGCTTTCTGCCTGGACAATATTGTTGAAGTGAGTCATTGCCTCCACTCGCTTCCGAGGGTGACTAAAAGTGGGAGTTGATAGTCACTACAACATTTGATAGTAACATGATTAATAATATTTAATCTTATCTTCTATCATTTGTGGGTTTAGTGCATTCACTTAATATAAATTATAAAATTATAAATAACAGGTCACTAGTCTTGGCATAGAACGTGTTTCTAGGAACTGACGCTTGTTCAGCAGCTCACATGTTCCACTGACCGGAGAAATCCTCTCATCAGCAGGTGGTCAGCAGAGTGTCATGACTGAACACCGGCCCGAAAAAAGCAAAGAGATGACTAAAAACACCGACCTCAGATCGGCCCACCGGCAATTTGGGTCCTGGTTCCGCTCATCACGTTAACTCTCATTGTGATATCAAAGCTTTGTTGGCTCTGTTAGTGATCCACTCTCTTCCTGCCAACCCTCACTAGCTGCTTTAACCTCCAGAGATGGGAAAACGTACTCACTGTCATCATCCCATGTGGATGAAGATCGGCTTTAGAGCTGAGATGTTTTTTCGCACGGTGCGGAGGCTCGTTCCGACGCCCACACAGTAAAAAAATGCTAATGATGACTTTAATCGTCATTGGCAGTGAGTGAGTTAATATATGACGGAGAATATGCACCTAATGGTTGCTTAGGGATGGGTACCGAATTCGGTACTTTTTAAGGTACCGACCGAATTCCATAGTGCCGACCGAGCACCGATTCACGTCATTTCAAACGGTGCCTTGTTTCGGTGCCTCGTTTCGGTACCCGTCCTTCACAACGAGAACTTGCCAAGACAGCTGCGCATGCGCAAGAGCGTTATGTCGTCGCTCGCTGCGAGCCAGTTGTAAACAGAGCAGCATGGTAGAAAGAACGCAAAGACATGTGAGAGCAAGTTACCTTTACCCTCTTCAGTCCCCTCTGCATGGTGTGTACAAGTGCAAATGACCTTCTTCACACTGTTAAACATTACTATTCTATTTTTGCCGGACGCCGGAGCACCTCCGCAGTCAATGGACAGAAATCATAACCGCCCAACAGGAAAAGGAGCGAGCACAACTTCCGTTATTTCACAATAAATCGATAAACAAAAAGCGTTTTTTGTTTCATATGCACAGGTTTAACAACTTTTAACAACTATCAATGGCGGCTGAACTTTAAATGCCCCAAAATAAGCCATAAATACAGTTTCTACTATCAAAGTAGTCACACTGTTGATCCAAACACTGCTGATCTCTCAACACAAATGATGGGCAGATTAAACAGTTCATTTCGATGCTTCTCCCACACAACGGGTGTTTGGATCTAACTTCCGCGTTTATTGCTCGGACTGTATCGCAAGATCTCGAAAATCCCGCGCATGCTTGTTTGCGCACCTCAGGTCTCCGCACCGGAGCGGAGCCGTTGTAGAGCGGGTACAGTATAATATGAGTTCGGAAGCGAGCGGCTGCGGAAGGCGGGGGCGGAGCGGAGCGGAGGTAGTGGAATCTTGGGGTAACTCATTCGCTGCCAGCCGCTTCCTGATCACTAAAGGCCTTCGCTGCCAGCGCTTCTCACCATTTTTACAGTTTTTTTTAAAAGAGTGACAGAATGTTGCGCGCTAGGATGATGTCGACACCAAAACAACCAAAACAAAGCGGAGACTGACCTCTTACATCAGGAAGAAGCCGCGTGTTTCAAGCGTTATCCGTTCTTTCATAATCTGTTGTCGAATTGTGATCAGCAGACCCTTTTCTGGTTCGCGTCTCACTTTTTTTTACAGGAACGGCCCAAAACGATCTCCTAATACATGGATGTTCTGCTTCCTGATCATGTGACGTGTGACGTATGCGGCTGAAGATCGGCTTCAGCGCTGAGATGTTTGTTCTCTCGGCATGGGGGCTCGTTCCGATGCCCAAACAGTAAAAATATATATCTGTAGCAGCTCCTAGCGAACAGAACCAAGTGTCATCACAAGCTGCTGATCTAGCATGATGCTGGTTATGATTTTATGGGTTACAGATGGGTGTTTCGTTTGATTGATGCTCCATGTTTTTATCCCTGCAGGGAGCCATACTAACTCACCTCACTCCTCCCAGTTTCTTCTTTAAAACTCATTAAATCTACTGTCTTGATGCATTTTTACGAACTTCCTCTGCGCTGTGTTTTTGTAGTAAGATACAAACGTTTCAACACTCACTGAGTCCTAGTTCGACAGATATGTTTGTTTACATTTTTGCCGCTGCAAACCTACAGTGTGAGGGAACGGAAGGGAGGGGGCAACGCAATGCTGCGTTCAGGGTATCTCTTGGCTCCACAGTAGCAGCAAAGGACAGCTGGTTTGACCGGCTCTGAGAGGCCTTAATCAGAATTTGCGGATCACATTTGTTTCACGGACATCGACTGTGGAATCTTCTTTCGGTTGGCGGACTGGGCATCGAAACTAGGAATCTAAACTTAAAACTTTGAACGATTCCGGGAAAATCTGACAGTTAGCCCCGGTTCCAATCGATGCCCAACCCTACTATTTTTTTTGTGATCATCAATCTTCTGTTTATGCCATCAACCAGCTGACTTGATTTTACTAACAAGTGCATAGTGGAAAAATTGGTTGCAGCATCAAGGTTGCTGGTTCAAAACCAGCGGTGGCCTTTCTGTGTGGTGTTTGGTGGTATGTCAGGCTATATGATGACTCAAATTTGTTCAATGGTGTCAACGAATGTGGGACTGACTTTATGTCTCGTTTGTCTTGCTGTCTTTGGGATGGACTGGCAGCTTGTCCAGGGTGTCCTTCA